GAGGAGAAATTTTGATAGTCCAAACTAGTACATAATGAAGAACAAAACCATCTCATCCCACAGCAGATGATGCGAAAATATTACAAGGGGAAATAACAATGAGACTTCTTCTTGATCAGTTTACGGTTTTAGGTTTTTCCGGATAGTTTCCCTTTACTAAAACTCTCCATCCACTGGTACGCTAAAATAAACTGATGTCCATTTTTTTTTCAAGTACTTATAACGACGAACGAAAGCTCCACTTTTTCTTCTAGTTTAGTTTTAGTAGAGGTTTTTACGGCGCTCGCAACTGCATAAGATCATATGAGCGCCAGAAGATTAGAGGTGTTACAAGAGAGTAAAAAACGTAAAAAAGAAGGGGAGATAAGGACGACAGATGTTGGATAGGAAAGAAGAAAAAGCAAACCACACCAGAGCACCCGCCAACCACCCACTCCACTTTTTCATAAACTTGGGGAACGAGACATGTCATAATAGATCAAGTAGTTTTAGTAGGCTTTTTTAATTTTTTAAAATTCTGTGTCTGTGCAGCTCTGTACGGAAGCCTGTTCACCGCCAAGCCTGAGCCTGCCTTCGCTAACTACCGCCTGTGGGAGTCCCTGGGATTCGCCGTCACCTACGCCTACAACGACGAACTGTGTACTGAGTACGTATTTATGATAATTATTACGTTCATCAAGCGCACGACGGTTATACCTCGTGCAACTTTTTTTGTGAGTGTTTCACGGCGCTCGCAACTGCATAAGGTCATATGAGCGCGCGGGACACACCTTACATTTTCAATTGGTAGGAAATTTTGAATTTTTACCAGGTGGCGGCCGAAGCCTATTCTTATCCATTTCGGACCACCAAGGGATATTAAAATTTAACGTGCGCAACTAGCACACAGGACCTCCGAGATTTTTCGCCCCTGTCCGAGAAGGCTAGGTGTAGATCTTTCCTACCAAAAGATCAGGGGTGTGACTGAAAGACAGCACTAAGAAGGAACCAAGGAGTAGCAGTAGAAAGGCTGCAGAAAAAGTCAAGAGCCCAGAGGAGGGGGCAAAGGAGGTGAGGGGTGGGGGTAAAAAAGTGAAGACTAAAGCAGACGACAGAACAATGCTAGAGAGCAGGAAAGGAGGTGAAAGGAGACACTTTTAGAGAAGAACATTTTTCCGTCGCTACCCAGAGTCGAACCCGGGACCTTTGAATGAGAGGCGAACACCTTAACCTCTAGGCCACGAGAGCCCCCTTGCAACGTGTTTAGACCTGAATACAACTGCAGTGGTTCAGAAAGACATAATATCTAAGCGTGTGCATCAGTAGAATGGTTCTGCGCCTGACCTGTGACCCCTGAGTGGTATAAAGATAGGAAGGTTCAAAAGGTCCAAAAATATCCTTTCTAGATGTTATAGTTGTAGGTTTAAAAAAAATATTTTTCTGTGTGTTTTTTGTTGTTGTTGTTGTTTGTTTTTTTGCTGGTGGTTAGCGTTTTAAAATAATTTTTTTGTGTGTATGTTGTTTTCTTAATTTGTTTTTTGTTTTGTTTTTGAGAGTTTAGGGTTTGGGGGTTGCTTGGGGGTGGGAGTGGGATTGAAAGTGTGTTTGTTGATAAAAAAAAAAGGGGAGGGGGGAGCACCAATCCTTATTATAATTCGGATTACTAGAATCGAACATTGTGTGCAGGACCCCCCAAAAAACCCTGTAAGGACCAGAGTTTGATATTCAAAACTTGTATTTGAGCGTGTAAGTCAAATTCATACGCATCTGTGTTGCAGGGCTGTCGTTCTTAGATGTGAATGACTCTTAAGCCTTGGTAGTGAAACGTCTATCTGTAGTTTTAAAGTAAACCATGTAGGTATTTCAAGTACGTCACACATATTGGTCAGTTCATTACGCGGAATCTATTAGTGTCCCTCTTATTTATGTGATTGTCAAAACTTGTTAACATCTTCTCAACATTGCTCTGTGCTCCTGTGAGGTGTTGCAACTGTTGTTGTTGTTAGTGTTAGTGATGTTGTTGTTGTTGTTGTTGCTGTTGTTGTTGTTGTTGCTGTTTTTGTTGTTGGTTGCTGTTGTTGTTGTTACTGTTGTTGTTGTTGTTGTTGTTGTTGTTGTTGCTGTTGTTGTTGTTGTCGATGTTGTTACTGTTGTTGTTGTTGTTGTTGTTGTTGTTGTTGTTGTTGTTGTTGTTTTTGTTGTCGTTGTTGCTGCTGTTATTTTTGTCTGTTGTTATGGTGGCGGCAGTAGTATGGCAGAGTTGGTTTGCTAAAGACTTCCTGGCACAAGGTGGGACATGTTCCTGGTCAGGATATCGGACCAAAAAAAAAGGTTTCTTGAAGAACAAAAAAACCCCAACAACTAATAAATTAATATTAATGGTAACTCCCTATGGGGGCAAACATTGAAACTACAGCAGACATAACATTATCAGACTCACATCCCACCACGCCATGTTTTGGGGAGGTTAAGACAATGAGAAGTTAAAAGAACTTTCTTTCGTGCGTGCGTGCGTGTCTCTCTCTCTCTCCCTCTCTCTCTCTCTCTCTCTCTCTCTCTCTCTCTCTCTCTCTCTCTCTCTCTCTCTCTCTCTGTGTGTGTGTGTGTGTGTGTGTGTATTCTATGTGTGTGTGTTTTGGTCATATTTGGTTTGTTTGTATCGTTGTTTTGTCTTTTTAAATTATTATAACGTTACTATCCGAGAAGACCACCTGTTTTAGACAACCACTTTTCTCATAGACAAAACGGGAAGCCGTGTTGGACGGACAATGCCGACTGTATTTCGCCGCACAAGAAGGTGAGTAATTCCTTGAGACACGTGCGCACACCCTGGGTGGTATCGGCGGAGAGACGCGGC